GCGGGCAGGGTGGGCGGAGCTTCTGCCTCCAGTCTGGGACACCCCCCCACCCCAGCGCTGGGGGCCCGGTAGGCACAGGGAGGCTGAGGCTTGGGCAGCCTGGAGTTACAAGGGCTGGGGCAAAGCCCTGGTGAATCCCACCCTAATTAAAGGCCCTGCCCCGGAGACCCCCTCAAGAGGGAGAGCCCTCTTAGGAGCTGTCTTCTCTCTGCAGGGACGAGGAGGAAGAGGAGCAGGCAGGGGTGCTGAGCAGCTGCGCTGCGGTGAGGGGGCTCCGGGAGATGCGCAGGTACGACTGCCGGCTGCAGACGCCGGGGCCCGTGCGGCACCTGAGCTGGACAGCAGGAGCACACGGTGAGGGCGGTGGCTCCAGGCTGAGGCCGCAGCCCAGTAGGAGCCAGCTGGGCTCCGTGCAAGCCGTGCCTCGTGGCTCCTGTGTGCCCTACCCCAGTGTGCAGGGCTCGGGCGGTGCCAGGGGTACAGCTGCCTTCAGAGATTCTCCCGCTTCTCATCTGCCAAGCCGTTGTCCCGACGCCTATGCCAGCCGGACCAGCAGGCCCCCGCGGGACGTGGCTCAGGGCCCCGGGCCCCTGCCTGCCTGCCGCGTGCCCCAGGGGCCCCCGCCTGCAGCTCAGCACTTCCCAGCAGGCAGCGGCTCCACCGAGGACACCCAGGGAGCCCCGTGCCACCCCCTGATGTCGCTGGAGATGCCCATCAAAATGGAGAAAGACTCTGGACCCGAGGATGCCGCAGGCGCCTGCGGTCCTGGCCAGGCGTGGCAGGGAGCCAGCAACGTGGCCAAGTCACACCTGGTCACTTTCCCTACCAGGGTGCACCTGAAAGTGGAGCCGCACTCCAGGCCCCAGGTGTACGCCCCACACCTTGGGCACAGAGTGCTGGGAGCGGCCCCCCACAGCAGGGCCGCCGCTGGGCCTTGCAGAGAGCTGGCCCCATTCTACCCCCCACCCTGCGCCTGCCTGGAGCACCTGCACAGCCTTCCTGAGCCGCAGCGCCCCCTCCACCTCTGCACACCTGGCCGCCCTGAGCACCAGCCCCTGGGTCCCGGGGACGCCCCCACGGTCAAGCGCGAGCCCCTAGACTCACCCCCCTGGGCCCTGATTCCGCCCGGGGCCTCTGAGTGCACATTCCTGCCCTAGCACTGCTGGCCCCCTGGGGCTGCTGACTGGCTGGGGCTGCCTCCACTGGGACACAGGGACACGGCCTGAGCCCCAGCAGCAGAGCCCTGCAGGGTGGTGTGTTGGACCGTGTGTTACAGGTGTCCTGCCATGACCCTAACTCTGCTTAGTGACCATGATGCTCTTTGAGAAGTTGAGGTCATCAAGAGAGTGGCCAGCGGTGGCACACACAACACGGCCGGCCAGTGCTTTGTGCTTCAAGAAGCAGCTCCACAGTCCAGGTTGGCGCCCACGGGCGTGGCGCCTCCAGCCCGGCCTCCAGTCTGCCTCTCAGCCTCCTGCCTGTGGGTAGGGCAAGGCTTCAGGGCGGAGGATGTTGGCGAGCAGCACAGGGTGCATTAGTGAGTCGCTCAGTGGGAGGTGACCCTGAGCATCATGGAAGGAACCCAAGAGGGTGCACGTGGAAGGGGCTGTGGGTGCTGGGAAGTGCAGCAGATGCAAGAGGGGCCACGGGTGGGTGGAGGCACAGGAAGCATCTGGGAACTGCCCTGGGATTTTCATGGGTGCCTGAGGACCACCCACGGCAACTTGGGGCTGCAGGCGCAGTCCCGGCTCCTTCCAAGTGCCCTTGGCCGGCGTGGAACATCCAGTGCACAACAGAGGATGTGGAGGAGGCCACGCAGCGGGTCCAGTGCCTGCCCTGAGGCCACCTTCTCTTGGGAGCTGTGGCCGTGGCAGCGCCTGCAGACCAGGGACCTGTGGGCCAGGGACCTGCCTGCACATTCAGGCTTCAGCTTGGGCTCTGCCGTTCATGGCCTTGGGACAGCAGTGTTCAGCCCCTGGGTGGACATGCATGGTAAATGCACACTTGTGGACACGTGGCTCAGCAGCACACACCTGGGGTGCTTGCCCTCAGCAGCCCGGGCTCAGGAGGATTTGCCCTGGGGCAGCGATGGGGCTGAAGATATCCTCCCAGCACTCAGGGCCACCTGCGCAGTGGCCTCTCGGGTCTGCTCATCCCACAATTCCCTTTGCAAAGGTGACCTTGATGCCATGCTGTCATGGGCAGGAGCCATGCTCACAGCCTCCACGTCCACTGCCAGTTTCTTATTCCCCTGATGCCTGAAATCAGGATAATGGCCTAACTACCTCGGGGCACAGCCACCTGGGGATGAAGTCACCTGGGGATGCAGCCACCTAGGGATGAAGTCACCAGGGGACGCAGACATCTGGGGACACAGCCACCTGGGTACACAGCAACCTGGGGACACAGCCACTTGGGAAGACAGCCACCTTGGGACACAGCCACCTAGGGATGAAGTCACCAGGGGACACAGCTATCTGGGGACGCAGACATCTGGGGACACAGTCACCTGGGGACACAGCCACCTGGGGACGCAGCCACCTGGGGACATAGCCACTTGGGGATGGAGCCACCTGAGGACACAGCCACCTGGAGACACAGCCACCTAGGGATGAAGTCACCAGGGGAAACAGCTATCTGGGGACACAGCCACCCAGGGATGCAACCACCTGGGGACACAGCCACCTGAGGATGCAGACACCTGGGGACGCAGTCACCTAGGGATGAAGTCACCAGGGAACGCAGACATCTGGGGACACAGCCACTTGGGGACGCAGCCACCTGGGGACACAGCCACCTAGGGATGAAGTCACCAGGGGACACAGCCACCTGGGGACGCAGCCACCTGGAGACACAGACACCTGGGGATGCAGCCGCCTTGGAATAGAATACAACCACCTGGGGACACAGCCACCTGGGGATGCAGACACCTGGGGATGCAGCCACCTTGGAATAGAGTACAACCACCTGGGGATGCAGCCCTAAGGATGCACCTGGGGACGCAGCCACCTGGTCTGATTCTCGCTCTCTGCACAGCTGGCCCAGTGTTCCCTCTTCACTCGGTCTTGTGCCCAGCGCGGCACTTGCACTCTGCTGTTAATGACTTCACCCTTAAGACAGGGGTGTGGTACTTCAGGCTCTTCCTCCTTTCCTCCTATCCCAACCAAGCGCCACTCTGCCTCTAGAAAGCCCCTCCTGGTGTCCAGACTCCAGCATCTCCCAGGCAGGAGCGGTGGGGGCAGGGCAGTTCCGAGGCTCGTAGGCAGCCCAGCGCTCAGCACCACCCCTTCCTGCCTTGGAGCAGGAGCAGCAACAGACGAGCAGGTGTGATGCCTCCGGAGTGTCCTGAAAGTGCATGGAAACAGGAAGAGAAGAAATGAGAGTCATCATGCGTTTCCAGCCCCTCTGAGGTGGCCGACGGGGGCCACAGATCCTGCCCAGGAGACTTCCCCCCAGAAACAGCCGCCCACCCCTCCTGGACCAGCATGGACCAGTCCAGTGGCCTCGGCTGCCTGATGGGTCATGCTCTCTTGACCCTCATTCCACAGCTGGGTTTTGTGTTCTGGGGACACGCTGTGTCACGGGCGCCAAAAATTGTCTCAGTGAGAACTTTTGCCATTTTCTCCCCAGGTCCTGCAGGAGGCTGTGTGAGGAAGGCAGCAGGAAGGGGCAGGGGCAGGTGTGTGATGTCACAGGGACACGGGGAGGGGCAGGGGGCAGGTGTGTGATGTTACAGACACAGGGAGGGGCAGGGGCAGGTGTGTGATGTCATAGGAGACAAAGAGGCAGGGGCAGGTGTGTGATGTCATAGGACACAGGGAGGGACGGGAGTAGGTGTGTGATGTCACAGGAGACAGGAGGGGACAGGTGTGTGATGTCACAGGAGACAGGGAGGGGCGGGGCAGGTGTGTGATGTCACAGGGACACAGGGAGGGGCAGGTGTGTGATGTCAGGGACACAGGGAGGGGCAGGGAGCAGGTTGTGATGTCACAAGAGACAGGGAGGTGCAGGTGTGTGATGTCACAGGAGACAGGGAAGGGCAGGGGGCAGGTGTGTGATGTCACAGGGACACAAGGAGGGGCAGGTGTGTGATGTCACAGGGACACAGGGAGGGAGCAGGTATGTGATGTCACAGGAGACAGGGAGGGGCAGGGGCAGGTGTGTGATGTCACAGGGAGGGGCAGGGGGCAGGTGTGTGATGTCACAGGACTCAGGGAGGGGCAGGGGGCAGGTGTGTGATGTCACAGGACACAGGGAGAGGCAGGGGGCAGGTGTGTGATGTCACAGGGACACAGGGAGGGGGCAGGTATGTGATGTCACAGGAGACAGGGAGGTGCAGGGGCAGGTGTGTGATGTTACAGGGAGGGGCAGGAGCAGGTGTGTGATGTCACAGGACTCAGGGAGGGGCAGGGGGCAGGTGTGTGATGTCACAGGACACAGGGAAGGGCAGGGGGCAGGTATGTGATGTCACAGGAGACACAGGGAGGGGCAGGTGTATGATGTCACAGGGACATGGGAGGCAGGGGCAGGTGTGTGATGTCACAGGAGACACAGGGAGGGGCAGGTGTATGATGTCACAGGGACATGGGAGGCAGGGGCAGGTGTGTGATGTCACAGGACACAGGGAGAGGCAGGGGGCAGGTGTGTGATGTCACAGGGACACAGGGAGGGGGCAGGTATGTGATGTCACAGGAGACAGGGAGGGGCAGGGGCAGGTGTGTGATGTTACAGGGAGGGGCAGGAGCAGGTGTGTGATGTCACAGGACTCAGGGAGGGGCAGGGGGCAGGTGTGTGATGTCACAGGACACAGGGAGGGGCAGGGGGCAGGTATGTGATGTCACAGGAGATAGGGAGGGGCAGGGGCAGGTGTTTGATGTCACAGGAGACACAGGGAGGGGCAGGTGTATGATGTCACAGGGACATGGGAGGCAGGGGCAGGTGTGTGATGTCACAGGAGACACAGGGAGGGCAGGTGTGTGATGTCACAGGGACATGGGAGGCAGGGGGCAGGTATGTGATGTCACAGGAGACACAGGGAGGGGCAGGTGTGTGATGTCACAGGGACACAGGGAGGGGCAGGTGTGTGATGTCACAGGAGACACAGGGAGGGGCAGGTGTGTGATGTCACAGGGACACAGGGAGGGGCAGGTGTGTGATGTCACAGGGACATGGGAGGGGCAGGTGTGTGATGTCACAGGAGGCAGTTGTTTCTTTCTGTTGTGGGCTCTTTTGCTTGTACAAATATAACTGAAAATTATTAAAATCATATATAAAGTGGGAATGGGAGGGAAGGGGAGTGAGATACAAGTCCTGTTTTACATTTTTTCAGATTGTATTAGAAGAAATGAGTTAATATCCAGACTAAATTGCTCTATTTTTAAGCTGTTGCTGTGATGTCAATTCTTCCTCGGTGCCTGTATGAGACCTCTCAGATATATCGTCATGCAGTGGTTTTACGCAATGTGCAATAGGACGTGAGGGAAACCACGAGTTAATTGGGTTTAGTGAAGTGGAAGTGCCTGCGTGATCTTCTGAATGGAGTGACTCCACTTCCTTCAGGTGTGGGCGGTTGAGTTACGCTGTGCGGTGGAGGCAGGTGCAGGTGAAGACAGAGCCCAGGCTGCACCAGGGAAACTGGGGACCCAGCGCCCGTGGCCACCCGGGTGAGGGCTGTCCTGCAGGCAACGAGGAGGGCAGAGCTGAAGGTGCTGTGGTGACCGCTGCTGGCAGTGGGCGAAGCCAGGCCCAGGCCTCCTCCATGTGTCCTGTGGTGCCGTGTGCTGTCTGTGTCGGCAGCCTCCCCGTCACACCCTGCAACCCTGCGTCCTCCCCAGGCCAGTCCCACCTGGGGAACCCCGTCTGTCACCACACCCTGGCCCAGCTTGCACCCCTCATGCCCCCACACCACCACTGCTGCCCAGGAGCCGGGGGTGGCCCTGTGAGACCTGTGAGGGCATCTGGCAGCTGCTGGCAAGGCTCAAATTTCAATAGATATATAGCAGGCAAATTTTAAAGAGAATTATTATTTATTTGAAAGGTAGAGTTACAGAGAGGGAGGAAGAAGAATCTTCTGTCCACCGGTTCATTCCCCAGATGGCCACACAGCCAGGGCTGGGCCAAGCTGAAGCCAGGAGCCAGGAGTTTCTTCTGGGTCTCCCACATGGGTGCGGGGGCCCAAGCCCTCAGGCCATCTTCCACTGCTTTTCCAGGGAGCTGGATTGGAAGTGGAGCAGCCGGGACTCGAACTGGTGCCCATATGGGATGCAGGCAGCGGTTTGACTCGAAGGGGCCAGGTGCCACTCAAGTGGCCTCCATTCCCAGCCACTTGTGCGTTTTCTCCCGGGCCACTGGCCCACGTGCCTGAGCTCACCCCGCCTTTTGCTGCTCACCACACAGGCGGCGTGCTTGCCCCGTGCTGTCCCCGCCTGTGTTCTGTTTTTGTCCCTGTCCCTCCATGTGCAGGCTCACAACGCTCTCTTCCTGGGACCTCTGCAGTCTGCCCCTGTCGGGGTTGGGCAGAGTCTTCCTGGGCTTTGCTTTTCTTTTTTGACAGGCAGAGTAGACAGAGAGAGAGAGAGACAGAGAGAAAGGTTTTTCTTTGCTGTTGGTTCACCCTCGAATGGCCGCTGTGGCCGGCGCACCGCGCTGATCCAAAGACAGGAGCCAGGTGCTTCTCCTGGTCTCCCATGGGGTGCAGAGCCCAAGGACTTGGACCATCCTCCACTGCACTCCCGGGCCACAGCAGAGAGTTGGCCTGGAAGAGGGGCAACCAGGACAGAATCCGGCACCCCAACCAGGACTAGAACCCGGGGTGCCGGCGCCACAAGGCGGAGGATTAGCCTAGTGAGCCACAGCGCCGGCCTTCCTTGGCTTCTGCCAAGGGCTGAGGGTCAAACCCTCAGCCTTGCAGAACTGAAACCATGCCCGGGCTGGCCTGGGCAGTCAGGCAGGCCTCCTGCCATCCTTGGGACCCTGGAGAGCATTTCTCAGTTTATTTCAGAGGTGGGAGGAGAGGAGTCATCGGTGGTGGGGTGGGGTCAAAGGGGCTCCTGTTTCCCAGGTTCACTCTCCAGGTGCCTGCGACAGCCGTGCTGGGCACGCCCTCCGGATCTCCTGCATGGATGTCGGGCGCCAAGCGCTTGAGCCATCACTGTTGCCTCCCAGGTGTGCACAAGCAGGAGCTGGATTGGAATGGGAGCCGTGCGCGGATTAGGGTGCACAGTCCAGGCAGCATCTTAACCTTGCTTTCCGATTTCTGGTGTGTTTTTCTGGGTCTGCCCTTCCTCGGGGGATGCACCCCTGTGAACACCCAGCCTCACATGGGATCTCCACCTGCTGGGAGCCTGACCCCATCTTGTCCTCTGTGCAGTGAGAATCCAAGCCCTGGCATAGCCGGCCACCTCCCGCTCCCTGTTTGCTGCTTCCTCCCCCTCCACTTCTGCTTACATCCCACACCTCCCCTCTCTGAGCTGCACCCAGGTGTGCAAGCCCCAACCTCCCCTCTCTGAGCTACACCCAGGTGTGAGCCCCAACCTCCCCTCTCTGAGGTGCACCAGGTGTGAGCCCCAACCTCCCCTCTCTGAGGTGCACCAGGTGTGTGAGCCCAACCTCCCCGCTCTGAGGTGCACCAGGTATGTGAGCCCAACCTCCCCTCTCTGAGGTGCACCAGGTATGTGAGCTCTGGGGCACGTGTGGCAGCCCCCAGCTCCGTGTTCCCATCCCTGTCACGTTCAGACCCCCCTGAACGGGATGTGGGCACCATCCCGGCTGATGATCATCCGCAGAGTTGGTGACAGACTGAAAGACTCTCATTCAGATGCAGTGTTGAGGCCACAGGTGTTTCCACCACAGCTGGTGGTCTCACAGTGGCCGCTCTCAGGAGGGTGAGGCCCTTGCAGCCGCTGGCCTCCCCTCCATCCCCCACAGGGCCTGCCACACCTTCCCACCTGCACGCCGCTCAGGGCAGTGCCCCACAGGTGGAGGGCCTTGCCTGCCCAGGGACCTGCCCAGCCTGGCATCCAAGGCTCTCCTGAGTGTTCCAGGGCCCCTGTCCCACTGCTGTGGGTCCCACGTGGGCTTCTGGTCTGTGTGTGTGCCACGAGGGCTGAATTCATTCCTCACCCCTGGGCACGGCAGAGGCCAGGCTGCCCCCGGGTGGCAGCTGCTACAGGAGTCACACTACACACTGTCCCTTCCTCCTGAGCCGGTGCCCTGTGCCAGCCTGTCAGCCCGAGGGGAGCCGGGCTACCTGCAGGGAGCACGTGGGGTCTCGGCGTGGCACTGGGAAGGAGGAGGAGGGCCCTGGGCGCTCCAAGAGCCGTCCCTGCCTCCATTTGCAGCACGCTCAGCTTCTGCTCACAAAGCAGAGACCACTTCACTGATGCCTTAAAGAAGGTTCACACAAAATTGTAGCCAAAAAGCCCGAGCCCGCATGGGAGCAGAGGTGGAATGCTCCACTAGGGAGCGGGGGCAGAGGTTCACTTCAGCTGGTTTTCTGTGGGACGGAGGGTGCACCGTTTGTCATAGGGGCGGGGGAGTCTCTGGGGGTCCAGGCAGGGAGTCCACACTCCCTGGTCTGATGGAGACACCCGCCTGTGACAAGCACTGACCTGGCCTGAGGATGGCGTTTGCTACTTTTTGTTGCACATGGGAGGGGCGCCCGGCACCAGAGCTGACCCAGTGAGGGCTCCGCTGGTGCCCGCAGCTGCCCCACACCTGTCTCTCTTAGGGGCTCTCCCAGTGAGCAGCAGCCTTATGGGACAGACAGAGCCTGACTGCCCAGCCTGCTGGGCCTCCATCAGCCTGAGCCCCAGCCCGAGCCTGTTCTGTATGAGAGCAGAGGTCACTGCCAAGGATGTCCCCTGTGACCATGTGACTCACAGCCTGATGCCATCTGTCCATCCTGAGGGCATCTGACCCCGGGCACCATCCTGTCCATCCTGAGGGCATCTGACCCCAGGCACCACCTGTCCATCCTGAGGGCATCTGACCCCGGGCACCACCTGTCCATCCTGAGGGCATCTGACCCCGGGCACCACCTGTCCACCCTGAGGGCATCTGACCCCGGGCACCATCCTGTCCATCCTGAGGGCATCTGACCCCGGGCACCACCTGTCCATCCTGAGGGCATCTGACCCCGGGCACCACCTGTCCACCCTGAGGGCATCTGACCCCGGGCACCACCTGTCCACCCTGAGGGCATCTGACCCCGGGCACCATCCTGTCCATCCTGAGGGCATCTGACCCCGGGCACCACCTGTCCACCCTGAGGGCATCTGACCCCGGGCACCACCTGTCCATCCTGAGGGCATCTGACCCCGGGCACCATCCTGTCCATCCTGAGGGCATCTGACCCCGGGCACCATCCTGAGGGCATCTGACCCCGGGCACCATCCTGTCCATCCTGAGGGCATCTGACCCCGAGAACCACCTGTCCACCCTGAGGGCATCTGACCCCGGGCACCACCTGTCCATCCTGAGGGCATCTGACCCCGGGCACCATCCTAAGGGCATCTGACCCCGGGCACCATCCTGCGGGTATCTGACCCTGGGTTTCACCTGTCCATCCTGAGGGCAACACCCCTGGGTTTCACCTGTCCATCCTGAGGGCACCACCCCTGGGTGCCACCTGTCCATCCTGAGGGCATCTGACCCCGGGCACCATCCTGTGGGCATCTGACCCCGGGCACCATCTGTCCATCCTGAGGGCACCACCCCTGGGTGCCACCTGTCCATCCTGAGGGCATCTGACACATGGAGTGAAGCCAGCTGGGACTCACTGCACTGTCCCTGACTGTGCCCGCCTCACTGGGTCAGAGCTCAGGGAACGGAAGGCTGTAAACACCTCAGTTGTGTTTCATTCAGTGCCCACACTTGCTTTGCCAGGAAGAAGTGGCAGCGGCAGCATGAAGGGAAACGCTCCCAAGAACGCCCATGCACGCTGCTGCCGTGACCCCCCCAGGGCCCAGCACAGAGGGTGGAGGGCTCCTGTGAGCCCCCTCCCATGTCCGGTATTCTAGGCCGTTATGGCCTTGACACCGAGGTGCCCACAGCAGAACTTCTGTGACACGAAAGCACACGCGCGAACACACATGTCCACACGCATGTGCACACATGTGCACACCCACACAAATACACACATGCACACGCGTTCACACACGTTCACGCACACACACATACATACACGGGCATACGCGCCCACACAAATACACACATGCACACGCGTTCACGCACAGGCGCGCACACACGCGCACGCCCGCACACCCGCACTCGCGCACACACACCGCGATGGGGCGGGCCGGGGGTCGGCGCCTGCGGCTGTGAATCCTGAGGGGTCCGGGCGGGCGGCGTCCGGCGCACGTCAGGGAAGGGGCGGCGGAGCCGGGACAGGCAGGAAGCCCCCAGCCGTCACCGGGCTCCGTGGACAGCGACCCCCGGAGCACCGGACGGTCTTGCCGTCCCGAAGGCCCGCCCACTGGCCAGGCCCCGCCCGCCACCTGCGTCGCCGGAAGCGGAAGTGCCCTTCAGCGTCCACTTCCTGTCGGGCCCGGGAGCGGGCGGCGGCTGCAGCGGCAGCGGCGGCGCGGGCGGTGAGGCGTTGTGGGGTCCGAAGGCTTGCGGTCCGCTGGGTGGTGGCCGCCGACCCTGCCGCCGTTGTCCTTGGGCGTCCGCGGGATGAGCGGCGGCCGGGGCGGGGCCCGAGGGCGGGGCTCCCCGAGGCCGTCTGGGCCGCGGTGCGGTGTCCGCCTCGCTGTGTCCTCTCGGCTCGGGAGTCTCTTCAGCCGGGTGTCACCCCGCGCGGGTCGTCCCCCGGCCCGGCCGTCACCCCCGCGGGTGTCCCCGGGCCGGGTGTTAGCCCCGCGGGTCGTCCACCAGTGCGGGTGTCACCCCCACGGATCGTCCCCAGGCCCGGGTGTCCCCCCCGCGGGTCATCCCCCGGCCTGAGTGTCACCCCCGCGGGTCGTCCCCTGGCCTGGCCGTCACCCCCACGGATCGTCCCCCTGCCTGAGTGTTACCCCCACGGATCGTCCCCCTGCCTGTCACCCCTGCGGGTCGTCCCCCGGCCCGGGTGTCCCCCCCGCGGGTCGTCCCCTGGCCTGGCCGTCACCCCCACGGATCGTCCCCCTGCCTGAGTGTTACCCCCACGGATCGTCCCCCTGCCTGTCACCCCTGCGGGTCGTCCCCCGGCCCGGGTGTCCCCCCCGCGGGTCATACCCCGGCCTGAGTGTCACCCCCGCGGGTCGTCCCCTGGCCTGGCCGTCACCCCCACGGATCGTCCCCCTGCCTGAGTGTCACCCCTGCGGGTCATCCCCCGGCCTGAGTGTCACCCCCGCGGGTCGTCCCCGGGCACGGTGTCACCCCCAGGGGCGTCGCCCCCTGGCCCGGGAGTCACCCCCGCGGGTCGCTCCCGAGCACAGGTGTCACCCCGTGGTGTCTGCCCATCTGACTCCTCAGCCCATCGGTGCCTCCCCGATGCCGGTGTGGGAGGGCTGTGGAGGTTCCTCAGGGTCTCTGGGGCCCTAGGAGTTCCCGTCTGGCCTGGGGAGACTGGCGCACCCTGTGCGGTCCCTGGTGAGCCTCCTGCTTTCCCGGTCTGTTCAGAGGCGAGCCCTCCGCTGCCCTGCACCCAGGAAGGGTGCTGAGGGCCAGTGCGGCCGGGCTCAGGGCACGCTGCGAGCGTCTTGGCTGTGGTCATCAAGATGAGGGTCCCGTGTCAGCGGGAACGTGGTCGTGTGCAAAGCCGCACTCTGGGTACTGAAGCAATGCAGGGAGCAGCGGGGGCCACCGAGCCGGCAGGAGAGGGCGCCTGGGGGGGCGGGGGGACGCGGCTGCCTCTGGCGTGTCCATATCTCCCGTGCGTTGTTGTATGTGGTTTGATTTCGTAACCAGGGGAGGAGAAGAGGGTAGTGGTTGCAGTGCCGCCTCTGAAAGAGAAGAGACCCGCACGTTCTCCTGAGAGCCGGGAATGGGAATGAGAAAGCCCGGCAGAGGTGGCCGTGGTGGGGGTAGTGCTGGAGCTGGGGCCGCTGGCGGGGGAGCTGGGTCAGCGCCTGTGCCGCGTCCCCTGCCCTCCCCACCCTCTGTCAGGGCTGTGAAATGCAGGGGATGGAGTTGTGCGTGGTGATTTGCAGGGCGGCCCTGGGTGCGTGCTCGCCCTCTGGGGCAGTTGTGCGCGGCCCTGGGCTGGCGAGAAGGCTCCTGTCAGGGGCGCCGCAGGGCCTCGGGCTGACGTGTGCAGGTTCACGCACAGGGACTGGTGCGCGCGCTTGCTTTCTCGTGCACAGGGGTTTCTTTCTTCCTTTTTCTTTTTTATTAAGATTTATTTATTTATTTGAAAGAGTTACACATTGAGAGGAGAGGCAGAGAGAGAGAGGGGTCTTCCACCGCTGGTTCACTCCTCAACCAGCCACTACAGTCGGAGCTGTGCTAATTTGAAGCCAGGAGCCAGGAGCTTCTTCCGGGTCTCCCACATGGGTGCAGGGGCCCAAGGACTTGGACCATCTTCTACTGCTTTCCCAGGCCATAGCGGAAGCTGGATCAGAAGTGGAGCAGCCGGGACTGGAGCCGGCGCCCATGTGGGATGCCGGCATTGCAGGCAGCAGCTTTATGCGCTACGCCACAGTGCCGGCCCCAACAGGGGTTTCTACATGTAATGTAAAACCATCCCTGAGGGGCCGGCGCTGTGGTGCAGTGGGTTAACGCCCTGGCCTAAAGCACCAGCATCCCATATTGGTGCCGGTTCTAGTCCCGGCTGCTCCTTCTTCCGATCTAGCTCTCTGCTGTGGCCTGGGAAAGCAGTGGAGGATGGCTCAAGTCCTTGGGCCCCGTACATCCATGTGGGAGACCCGGAAGAAGCTCCTGGCTCCTGGCTTCAGATCCAGCCGTTGCGGCCATCTGGGGAGTGAACCATCAGATGGAAGACCTCTCTCTCTCTCTCTCTCTCTCTCTCTGCCTCTTCTCTCTCTGTGTAGCTCAGACTTTGAAATAAATAAATAAATCTTAAAAAAAAAAATCCCTGAATTTGAGTCAGGGGGTTCATGAGCCTGGTTACGCTTTCTTTCTAGTTTACTTGCGGTCTCAGACACCTCTCATATGGCCCCAGATGGTCAGTCGACTGGGGGTGTTCAGTGCCCTTGTGGTCAGCTGGCTATAGGGGGAGTGCTCAGTGCCCACATGGTCAGCTGGGTAGGGACGTGCTCTGTGCCCACGTGGTCAGCTGGCTGGGGGACATGCTCTGTGCCCACGTGGTCAGCTGGCTGGGGGCGTGCTCAGTGCCCACATGGCCAGCTGGCTGGGGACGTGCTCGGTGCCCGTGTCTCCACCTTCCTAACCCTGTCTCTCTTGTACAGTCAGTGCCCCTGGAATGACAGGCGTGGGGACTGTGCCCTCTCGTGGACCATGAAGGAGACCGACCGCGAGGCTGTGGCAACAGCCGTGCAGCGGGTAGCTGGCATGCTTCAGCGCCCAGACCAGCTGGACAAAGTGCAGCAGTACCGCCGAAGAGAGGCTCGGAAGAAGGCCTCCGTGGAGGCCAGGCTGAAGGTAGGAGGCCGCACCTGCTGCACTCTGGGCGGGACAGTCATTTATTTTGAACTTGGGTTCCTGCCTGACAGTGTCACAGTGAGTTTGCTCAGCTGGACTTTCTGAGGACGAGGACGAGGCAGAGCTGGGCTCCTCCCAGTCAGCAGATTCGCAGGAGAAACCAGGTCCTGGTCCTGCCGGGCTGAGCGTGCCAGGAGTCAGGAGGAAGAGCTACACACCTTTTTTTTTTTTTAAGATTGATTTATTTATTTGAAAGGCAGAGTTACAGGGAGGGGGAGAGAGCGAGCTCTTTCATATCCTGGTTCCCCCCCAAATGGCAGCAACAGCTAGGATGGAGGCAGGCTGGAGCCAGGAGCTTCGTCTGGGTCTCCCACGTGGGTGCAGGGGCCCAAGGTCTTGGGCATCCTCCGCTGCCTTCCCGGGCATGTTGGCAGGAAGCTGCATTGGAAGTGGAGCGGCTGGGACTCGAGCAGCTGCTTGTGTGGCGAGCCGGCATCTCGTAACCCACTGCTCCATGACACTGGCCCCTGGACAGGTTCACGAAGTGTGTGTGGGAGTGAGACAGAAAAGGTATTTTATGGTTTAGATTGGCTTTCAGCCTGACTGATCTGAGCAGGCAAGGTTTTATTGAAATAGGCACATTCAGTGTAGTCATAGCAGGTTAGAACCACGGCCTGCCTGGCTGCCACCCACTCGAGCCGTGCAGGACCTGAGAGAGGGCCTTGAGGAGAGCCAGCTCACATGGGCAGGGCAGTGAGCTTGCGCTCCACTTGGAGACAGGAGGGCTGTCAGCAAGCCAGGGTGGGCTCGTTCGTGTCCCAGCCAGGCACCCAGAGCCCCCTGCACTGCTCTGAAACAGCGGCTTCCTGTTAACCTGGAAAAACAGTTTGGACCTGCTGTGTTTCTAACCTGAGCTTTTATCTGCTGTCAAAATGTGTGGGACTTGGCCGGCGCCGCGGCTCACTTGGCTAATCCTCCGCCTGCGGTGCCAGCACCCCAGGTCCTAGTCCCGGTTGGGGTGCCAGATTCTGTCCCGGTTGCTTCCCTTCCAGTCCAGCTCTCTGCTGTGGCCCAGGAAGGCAATGGAGGATGGCCCAAGTGCTTGGGCCCTGCACCCCATGGGAGACCAGGAGAAGCACCTGGCTCCTGGCTTTGGATTGGTGCAGCGTGCCAGCAGTAGCGGTCATTTGGGGGGTGAACCAACGGAAAAGGAAGACCTTTTTCTCTCTCTCACTGTCTAACTCTGCCTGTCCAAAAAAAAAGTGTGGGACTAACAGTCGTCATAGTGACTTAGAGACCTTGAGGGGTTGTTGTGACTATGGATGCCTGTTTCTAGGTGTGACATAGACTCCCGGTGAATGTTGTTCCTGGCTGGTCCCTCCCTTCCCCATCCCCGGCCATGGCTCCTGCACGGCCCTCCCCGTGGCTGTGCTGCTCTGGCTGGCCCAGCACGAGAGCCCACACCCCGATGTGCCAGTTCAGTGTGGGGTCCACCACCCTTGCATCGAGTCTGGGCCCAGGTGAGTGGTGGGAGCCCCAGCTGAGGAAGAAGTCTGCTAGTTTCCTGTACCTCAGGAAGCTCTGTTGGAAAGGTGGGAGATACCTGGGTGATGTCCCTCTAAGGAGGTCATTTAAGAGGTGGCGAGGGCCCGAGGCAGGCCCAGGAGGTGTCCGTTGTCATCAGGTGGCGAGGCAGGACAGGGCTCTCGGGAAGATTTCTTGTCAGAGCTTTCAGAGGCATCGTTGTTCCGTCCCAAGGCAGCAGTGAGAAAAGAAGCGATCTGAGTAAATCTCTGTCCACTTGATTCCTTTTTCTGGATGGGAACTATCTCTTGCTGCTGAGATGCATCTTCTGAACTTGGCCATCCTGGGGAAGGTTTGCTCGTTGGGATGCAGCTGGTGGCTGTCTCTGGCTCTGCTCACCTGCACACTGTCTCCCTTAGGCTGCGATCCAGTCACAGCTGGACGGGGTGCGCACAGGCCTGAGCCAGCTCCACAACGCACTGAGCGATGTCAAGGACATCCAGCAGGCGCTGGCCGACGTCAGCAAGGACTGGAGGCAGAGCATCAACACCATCGAGAGCCTCAAGGACGTGAAGGACGCTGTGGTGCAGCATAGCCAGCTGGCCGCCGCCGTGGAGAACCTCAAGAACATCTTCTCAGGTGCCCTGGCCGGCGGCGGGGCCTGGCGGTCGTGGGCTGCCCACTGCCCATGTTCACACCCCGGCCGTTACTCGAGGCGTTTTGGAGACCTGTCGGAGTGGGCAGTGAGCCTGTGTCCCACCTGCTCAGTTTCTTCTGACACTGACGGCCCTGGCTCTGCAGGGAGGCCCAGAGCTGAGCTGAGCAGTGTTGGAACAGTGTCCTTGTGGGCTGTGGGCTGTGTGAGGGAGCTGGGGGAGCAGCGGCGCACAGGCCTGCGGAGCAGGGGCCTGGTGGAGCTGTGCATGGCAGGGCGGGGCGACGCTTTCAGAGTGGTCTCTCTCAGTACCTGGTGAGCAGGAGCCTCGGGCTCAGCAGCCTGGCCTGGAGCAGTGTCAGGTGCACCTGGGTGGTGGCTCCTGGCGTTTGTGCTCACACACCTCCCCACTCGCGGGGATGTGACCTGGTCTTAGGCCCCCAGAACATGTATTTCTCCCTCCATCACCTGCCAGCGTCCCCGACTGTGCTTCAGACCCCCCAAGCAGCAGCCTTGGCGTGGTCGGACTCCTTACCTGTCTCCCTCAAACATCTTGCACCAAAGTCTTCTTTCTGCTCCGTCCCCACAGTGCCAGGTCAGGAGTCAAGGTCTGCCCAGTGCCCTGGGATTCCAGCTTCCTCCCCACTTGGCTCCGTGCTGGCCATGGCTGCTTGGCTGTGCTCCACAGCATCATAGCTACTGTCTGAACACTGAGGCCAAAGTGCCCAGGTCCTGAAGTCATGTGTGGTTGGTATGGTGCCCACACCCATGGCATACCTTGGTCTGTGTAGCCCAGCCTCCCCTGGCGTCTACTTGTGCCTGGAGCTACAGCCTGGCTGAGCCCGTCACTGTCCCCCTGTGTGTGCCCATCCTTTGGTGGCACAGAACCTATCACTTCTTACGTCGTCCCAACTGTCACGTTCACAGCAGGTGCTTGGGAAGCCGCTCCTCTCGGTGGCTGTTGACTGCCTGAAGTTGGAGCAGAGGCCCCACACCTGAACTGCCCTGGTGGTACTCAGCCTGGCGCTGTCCTCGTCCATCTTGCTGCTCCTGTAACCTCCTGTTGCCTGACTGCATCTTCCTGTGAGACTAGTGCCTCGTGACCAGAGTTAGTCGCTGGGATTCGTTCATCCCCAGCTGTTGAAATGATTCTCTTCACTTGATGAACAGAGGGCCCTGTCGCGTGCACACTGTTCCTGTTAGCGTGGATTTCCACTGGGAACCTGTGGCCTGTGGTTCCCTCGTGCCTGGAAGTCCTCGGGCGTAGCTGTGGACACAGGCCCCTTGGTCCTGTTAGGCCGCGTGTGACAGAGCTCACACCTCGGTGGCTGTAGGTGTGTGCGTGGTAGTTGTAAGCACACGCTGCTGTTGTCCTTGCACACGTGAAAAGCTGTACCCGTGACGCAGGAACTCCCCCAGCCCCAACACCTGCCTTTCTGCCTGGTGTCTCACGGGATGTGACTGCTGTATGCACCTCAGGTGTACGTGGGACCACACGGCGTTTGTCTTTGTGTCTGGTGTGATTCACTTAGTTTGGTGAGAATTGCTTCCCCCTTCCAGGCTGACTGGGGTTGTTTTATAAATACGCGGCCTTGGCAGCTGCCGTCTATTGATGAACACTGGGGTTGCTTCTGTGTCTGGATTGCTGTTGTCAGTAGTGCTGTGAACGTGGCTTTGCAGATGTCTCAGTTCTTTCAGAAACATACTCAGGAGTGGGATTGCTGCATTTTATGTACTTCTGGTTTTAATTTTTATTTTGTTTATTTGAAAGGCAGAGAGACAGACAGGGAGAAAGACCTTTTCTCTGCCGGTTCCCTCCCTGATGGGCCGGGCTGAAGCTAGCGAATGGTCACAAGTCCAGGGCTCCCGCGTGGGTGCTGGGGACCCAGCTGTCTGACCGTGGCCTGGTGCTCCCCAGTGTCTGCAGTAGTAGGATGCTGGAGCCAGGAGCCAGAGGTGGAGCTCACACCCAGGCACTGCTGTGTGAGCTGCGGGCGTCTTCACACTGAGGCCAGACGCCCAGCCCTGTTGCCAGTTTTTGAATCAGGTTATTTTGTTGTCGTTGAGTGTAAGGTGTTTTCTGAATATTCTGCATATTAATCCTTTATCAGATAGTGCTACTTCTCCCACTCTGTGGGTTACCCCTTGATGCACAAAGTTTTAAATTTTTCATAAAATCCGGTTTATTTTTTCTTTTGCTGCCTGTGCCTTTGGTGTCTCCCCCAAGAAACCGTTGCCGCGTCAGGTGTCATGGGGCCGGCATCGTGGGTCAGTGGGTTAAGCTGGGTCGAGACATCCGCACCCATCATCAGAAAGCAGCGGATGACTGCGCAGTTGGCTGGGCCCCTGCCGCCCGTGTAGGAGACCCAGCTAGAACTTCTCGTAGTGGATACTGCCCAAGTGTTCGCAGTGAGGCCACCGCCTCCTGGCCGCCGGACAGGGCTGTGGTCCTTGTGAAGGCACGCCTGCCTGAACGAGTGTGGCTGCCTGCCTGAACGGGTGTGGCTGCGTAAGCGTAAGGTTTGGGGTGTTATTGGAGACTGCTCTTCGGAAAACTCCTTACCATGCTTCAAGGACACAGAAGGTGAGCCAGCAGCAGCTGGGACTTCTCTCCCACGATAAGTATGTCCCACGGCACTTACCTCCCTTCCTCGTGCCTGCTTGTCCTGCAGTGATTTGTAGGGCACATCCTTGATTGTTACGTTACTAGTTGAACCCTAGGCTGGAGCTGGCCAGTGGCATTCGTGGGGTGAATGCCTGTGTTCCGGCTCATCATCTGAAACTCCGCAGTTCCTAGCTCCTGACTGGCTTGGCCCATCCCAGAGTTAGTTCCCCTGCTTCCCGGGATTCCTGCTGTGCGTATGTCGGTCTGCGTGCAGCTGCCCGGGCTTCCTTGTGCTCTGTTCACTTTGCTTCAGTCTGTCTGTGGATTCTTCTTCTGCCTGCTCAAGTCTCTCTTTGAATTCCTTAGTGCACTTTTTTTCAGTATCAGTTTCTTTTTGGGTTTTCTCTTTTTTGACATTCCTTTTAGTTTTATATCACTTTTTTTTACGATTTATTTTATTTATTTAAAAGGCAGAGTTAGAGAGCAAGAGGTCTTCCATCCACTGGTTCACTCCCCAAATGGTGCATCAGCCTGGGCTGGGCCAGGCAGAAGCCAGAAACCACTAGTTTTATCTGGGTCTCCCATGCTAGTGCAGGGGCCCAAGCACTTGGGCCATCCTCTGCTGCTTTCCCAGGTGCATTAGCAGGGACCTGGATTGAAAGTGGAGCAGCCGTGACTCGAACTGGCAGCGGCTCAACCTGCTGAGCCACGGCGCCAGTCCATAACGCTTTCTTTACTTTCTCTGTGTCTCTTTTTAGTTCTCGAGCATCTTTAAACTCGTTGCAAAGCTTTTGACTAGGAGTTCTGCATCAGGTCTTCCGGGAGAGAATTTACTTTTTCCTTTGGGTGTATTTTCCTCCTTCTTCGTATGTCTTATGATTTTTGCCCAAATTGGACATGGAATTTAACAGTGTGGAAACCCTGGAGTCCCGTCTGCCTTTCCAGGGTGTGCTGGTTTCGCTCTTCGCCTCTGGGCTGCTGCAGGCTGGCTGTGTGCTGAGCTCCTCCCAGGTCTTCTGAGCCTTGCCTTGTCCTGGGCATGCCCAGTGACTTTCTATTCGGAACATCTTTGTCTGGCTTCAAAGCAGGGTAGTAGGGGGCCTGACCCTTTTAATGCCCTGGAAGTCAGTTTAGCAGGAGAGTGAGGGGCACTGCCAGAACAGATCCTGGGTGTTTAGAGCGTGGGATTTTTCTTGGCCCTCTACCCCCTCCATTGTCTCCTGCCAGTGGAGTGCAGGCTGCCTGTCCCGAGGCTGGCGGTGAGGGTGGGTCGCTCCTCCTGTGAAGGCAGTGTAGCACCCGGGCCTCCTCTGGCAGGCAGAAGCCTGGATGAGATTGTGCAGGTCCCATGTAGTGCACATCAGGTGGGGCCTGCCGGTACCGCTGTCTCTCTGGGGAGAGGGTGCTCGCCTGCCCAGACCCTGCCCACCCCTTGGGTGCGTTTCTTCATGGTGTGGTCTTGTGTCTGTTCCCCAGTGCCCGAGATTGTGAGGGAGACCCAGGACCTGATTGAGCAGGGGGCGCTCCTGCAGGCACACCGCAAGCTGATGGAGCTGGAGTGCTCGCGGGACGGGCTGATGTACGAGCAGTACCGCATGGACAGTGGCAACACGCGCGACATGACCCTCATCCACGGCTACTTCGGCAGCACGCAGGCGCTCTCCGACGAGCTGGCCAAGCAGCTGTGGATGGTGCTGCAGAGGTCACTGGTCACCGTCCGCCGAGACCCCACCTTGCTGGTGTCTGTGGTCAGGATCATCGAGAGGGAAGAAAAAATTGACAGGCGTATACTTGACCGCAAAAAGCAAACCGGCTTTGTTCCTCCCGGGAGGCCCAAAAATTGGAAAGAGAAAATGTTTGCCATCTTGGACAGAACCGTGACCACCAGAATCGAGGGCACACAGGCAGACACCCGGGAGTCGGACAAGATGTGGCTGGTCCGCCACCTGGAGATCATAAGGAAGTACGTCCTGGACGACCTCATCGTGGCCAAAAACCTGATGGTTCAGTGTTTTCCTCCCCATTACGAGATCTTCAAGAATCTCCTGGGCATGTACCACCAGGCCCTGAGCACACGCATGCAGGAGCTCGCGGCAGAAGACCTGGAAGCCAGTGAGATCGTGAGCCTGCTGACCTGGGTGCTGAACACCTACGCCAGGTAAAGCCGCTCCGCACGGCCGGGGCAGTCTCCGGCGAGTCTGTTGGCTGCTCTGCTGCAGGCAGAGCGTAGCTTGCTGGTGCGCCTGAGGGGACTTCCTTGGGGTCAGGACCAGCCTGTGGTTTCAGTGCTGCCTGTCTGTGGGACCCTGCTCTTGCCGTCCAGCCTCTGTCGAGCAGGTGCAGCGTCGGGCTCGCTCTCTGTGCTCACCATGTGCCGGGTGCTCCTCCCAGCAGCACCGCGGGGCAGGAGTGTTCTTTCCCATTTGACGCGAGCACACCCGCCCCAGGAGCTGCTGGGACTTGCACCAGGCACCAGCTGGTGAGATGGCCACCATCCGCTTCCAGCTTCTGAGGAAGGGAGGGTTCAGGTTCACACAGCCAGCGAGTGGGGAGCAGGGTTCCAGCCCGGGCTCTGGGCCTTGCCGGAGCTCTGGCCGCTAGGTTGTGGGTGTTTGCTTGTGTCACTCACGTTCCCACTGCCTACGCTGTCAGCACCGTGTGTCCCTGGAAGGCCTGTGGCAGCCTGGTGGACTGTGTCAGGGCAGTTGAGCTGCTCCCTAGCCCTCGCTGGGGGTTCTCGAGGCAGAGATAACCTGGGCTAAGTGAGCAGCCCCTCAGTGCTTGCAGAATTCTCTGCAAGTGCTTGGACCCCTCGCAGACCGTGGCCAGGCGTTAATGTCCGTCACTCAGGGTCTGAGTGCACGTGTAGGGAGTGTGGCTTGCACACGAGATTTCTGCACCTCCACACCGCGGACTTCTCTTCTGTTGTTTTTTGTTTGTTTGTTTTAAAAATTTATCTATTTTTATTTGAATGGCAGGGTTACGGAGAAGCAGAGAGAGAGTGAGAGAGACCAGTCTTCCATCCGCTGGTTCACTCCCTAAATGGCCAGAACAGCCGGAGCTGGGTCTGTCCAAAGCCAGGAGCCAGGAGCTTCCTCTGGGTCTCCCCGTGGGTGCAGGGGCCCAAGCACTGGGCCATCTCCACTGCTTTCCCAGGCCATAGCGGAGAGCTGGATCAGAAGTGGAGCAGCGGAGACTTGAACCAGTGCCCATGTGGGATGCCAGCACTGAGGGCGGCAGCTTTCCCACTACGTCACAGCGCCCGCCTGAAGACCACAGACTTCTAAGAGCACTGCCACATACTCATGACTGTTTGTGATGAGACTTCTTTTTTTTTATGATTTATTTATTTGCAAGTCAGAGTTACACAGAGAGGAGAGGCAGAAAGAGAGAGAGAGAGAGGCCGGCGCCGCGGCTCACTAGGCTAATCCTCCGCCTAGCGGCGCCGGCACACCGGGTTCTAGTCCCGGTTGGGGCGCCGGATTCTGTCCCAGTTGCCCCTCTTCCAGGCCAGCCCTCTGCTGTGGCCAGGGAGTGCAGTGGAGGATGGCCCAGGTGCTTGGGCCCTGCACCCCATGGGAGACCAGGAAAAGCACCTGGCTCCTGGCTCCTGCCATCGGATCAGCGTGGTGCGCTGGCCGCGGCGGCCATTGGAGGGTGAACCAACGGCAAAGGAAGACCTTTCTCTCTGTCTCTCTCTCTCACTGTCCACTCTGCCTGTCAAAAAAAAAAAAAAAAAAAAAAGAGAGAGAGAGAGAAAGGTCTTCCATCCGATGGTTATCTCCCCAATTGGCCACAACGGCTGGAGCTGCACTGATCCAAAGCCAGGAGCTTCTTCTGGGTCTGCTACGCGGGTGCAGGGGCCCAGAGACTTGGGCCATCTTCTGCTTTCCCAGGCCACAGCACAGTGGGCTGAGCACGACTTCACTTAACTCTTGCTGGCTTGCTTTTAGTCCATCATGCCCAGTTGTGCTCCTGCAGAAACTGGTGGCTCTGCGTCCAAATTGCAGCACTTTTTATCTTCTTACTCAGTAGGACGTGCTGACCCAGCACTTGCATGAGTGAACAGACGGCTCGCTTGCACGGGGCTCTGTCTGGCGTTTGAACCCCTGGCCCCTGTGAGGCCGAGGGCTGGGTTAGAGTGACTTGGACATGCACCAATATGTGATGCCTCCTCCCTCGGGTCTGCCCACAAGGCCCCTGTCGTGCCCGAATGGTGACTGTACCGCGTCCAGGGTGGTGGACTCGTGTGTCAGAAGGAATCGCACTCCTAGACTCAGCCAAGAGTGTTCTGTGTCCCTTGTGACCCAGCATTCCCCTTCCTGGTTTCACTGCAGTGCAGAGATGATGGGAAACGCAGAGCTGGCCCCGGAAGTGGACGTGCACGCCCTAGAGCCTTTACTTTCTCCAGATGTGGTCTCTGAGCTGCTGGACACGTACATGTCAACTCTCACTGTGAGTAGAGCCTGGCAACAGTCCCACCGCTGTGTCCACTGGGCGTGGCCAGCCTTAGGGGCAAAAGAAGGTAGGGTGAGAGAGAAGTCTTGACATGTCCCTCCCAGGTGTGCTCTGCCACCTTGGCTCTGTCTAGGACTTGAAGTGGCCGGGAGAGCGGTCCATTCTCTGTCCCTGGAGTGGGGCTGTACCCCTGCAGGCTGGCGAGACCTGACGTCCATGCCACATACAGTGGTGCCTGCCAGATGCCTAGTTCTGAGTCCCAGTGAGGGTGGCAGTTAGGGGACCAGTGGGCAGGTGCGGCTGTAGCCGGCTGACCACAGGCAGTCTTCCAGTTAGACAGGGTTGTGTTCTGCTTCCTCGGAAAGGGTGTGACCAAAGGTATGAGTGAACTTTCGATGGCTACAAGGAGATACCCTCTTCAGGCTTCTTTCTGAAGCAAAGGCGCTTGCTTTGGCTCGCGGTTCCAGAGATTCACAGTCCAGGGTTGGGCAGACCCCATTGGTCCAGCCCCTGGTGATGTGTTCTTGCGGGCAGAGTCCCAGGGCAGTGCAGGGACCACATGGCCAGAGACAGGGAGCGCACAGGGCTGTGTCAGTGTCTGTGGGCTCTTGTGAAGGCCCGGATCAGCTGTGGGTGCCCCGTGCATACAGACAGACAGTGTACACGCGTCCAGCACCAGGCACAGACCCACCTCCTCAGTGCTGTTCACACAAGACGAGACGGCCTTCTGGTGCTGGGGTCCTAGGAGTGGAGGCCGTGTCTTCTGGGGGGATTGAGCTGATGTGGCTGCTGGGTCTGGGCCTGGATGTGCCCAGCCTGACCGGTGCCTGCTGTCTGCTGCCTGGCCCTGTCCTCCAGTGGGATGGCCATACGCAAGGCTCCTGGTCCGTGGAGGCTGTGCTAGGGTCTCGGGGAGCAGGGCTTTGTGACATACGGTCTGGTCTGTGCAGCTGCTCACGGCTGCAGAACTCTGGGCGGGACTCAGAGCTCTGCTCTCTCTTCTCCGTGGTATTGAACCTCTTCTAGTCAAACATCATTGCCTGGCTGCGGAAAGCTCTAGAAACAGACAAGAAAGACTGGAGCAAAGAGACGGAGCCCGAAGCTGACCAGGACGGGTACTACCAGACCACACTCCCTGCCATCGTCTTCCAGGTGCGGTCTTGGGTGGTCAGTGGGATCCATGGGATCACACACAGATGCAGTACACCTGATCTTTCTTAGAAAGCATGGAGACACGTGCACGAGTCCTGTCCCCGCCCAGTGCCCCCCGGGACTGCACTCGCCTCGTAGTCTTACAGGAGGTCTTCATGGTTTTCTCATCTCTGGGTTACTCCTGACTTAGAACACGGTGCACCCCCGTTACTCCTGACTTAGAACCTGGGTGCACCCCTGTAACTCCTGACTTAGAACACGGTGCACCCCTGTTACTCCTGACTTAGAACATGGTGCACCCCTGTTACTCCTGACTTAGAACCTGGGTGTACCCCCTGTTACTCCTGACTTAGAACACGGGTGCACACACTGTTACTCCTGACTTAGAATATGGTGCACCCCTGTTACTCCTGACTTAGAACACGGGTGCACCCCTGTTACTCCTGACTTAGAACACGGGTGCACCCCTGTTACTCCTGACTTAGAACACGAGTGCACCCCTGTTACTCCTGACTTAGAACACGAGTGCACCCCTGTTACTCCTGACTTAGAACCCGGTGCACCGCCAGTTACTCCTGACTTAGAACCGGTGCACCCCTGTTACTCCTGACTTAGAACATGGTGCACCCCTGTAACTCCTGACTTAGAACCCGGTGCACCCCCTGTTACTCGTGACTTAGAACATGGTGCACCCCTGTTACTCGTGACTTAGAACACGGTGCACCCCTGTTACTCCTGACTTAGAACACGGTGCACCCCTGTTACCCCTGACTTAGAACACGGTGCACCCCTGTTACTCGTGACTTAGAACACAGTGCACCCCTGTTACTCCTAACTTAGAACCCGGATGCACCCCTGTTACTCCTGACTTAGAACACGGTGCACCCCCTGTTACTCCTGACTTAGAACCCGGTGCACCCCTGTTACTCGTGACTTAGAACACGGTGCACCCCCTGTTACTCCTGACTTAGAACCGGTGCACCCCTGTTACTCGTGACTTAGAACACGGTGCACCCCCTGTTACTCCTGACTTAGAACACGGTGTACCCCCTGTTACTCCTGACTTAGAACACGGTGCACCCCTGTTACTCCTGAGTTAGAACCCGGTGCACCCCTGTTACTCCTGACTTAGAACACGGTGCACCCCCTGTAACTCCTGACTTAGAACCCGGTGCACCCCTGTTACTCGTGACTTAGAACACAGTGCACCCCTGTTACTCGTGACTTAGAACACGGTGCACCCCCTGTTACTCCTGACTTAGAACCGGTGCACCCCTGTTACTCGTGACTTAGAACCCGGTGCACCCCTGTTACTCCTGACTTAGAACACGGTGCACCCCTCTTACTCGTGACTTAGAACACGGTGCACTCCCCTGTTACTCCTGACTTAGAACACGGTACACCCCTGTTACTCGTGACTTAGAACACGGTGCACCCCTGTTACTCCTGACTTAGAACACGAGTGCACCCCTGTTACTCCTGACTTAGAACCCGGTGCACCCCTGTTACTCGTGACTTAGAACACAGTGCACCCCCCTGTTACTCCTGACTTAGAACCCAGTGCACCCCCTGTTGCTCCTGACTTAGAACCCGGGTGCACCCTCTGTAACTACTGACTTAGAACCCGGTGCACCCCTGTAACTCCTGACTTAGAACACGGTGCACCCCCTGTAACTCCTGACTTGGAACACGGTGCACCCCTGTTACTCCTGACTTAGAACCTGTGCACCCCCTGTTACTCCTGACTTAGAACACGGTGCACCCCTGTTACTCGTGACTTAGAACACAGTGCACCCCTGTTACTTGTGACTTAGAACACGGTGCACCACCTGTTACTCCTGACTTAGAACCGGTGCACCCCTGTTACTCGTGACTTAGAACCCGGTGCACCCCTGTTACTCGTGACTTAGAACACGGTGCACCCCTGTTACTCGTGACTTAGAACACAGTGCACCCCCCTGTTACTCCTGACTTAGAACCCAGTGCACCCCCTGTTGCTCCTGACTTAGAACCTGGGCGTACCCCCTGTAACTCCTGACTTAGAACACGGTGCACCCCCTGTAACTCCTGACTTGGAACACGGTGCACCCCTGTTACTCCTGACTTAGAACCTGTGCACCCCCTGTTACTCCTGACTTAGAACACGAGGGCACCCCCTGTTACTCGTGACATAGAACACGATACACCCCTGTTACTCCTGACTTAGAACCGGTGCACCCCTCTTACTCGTGGCGGACCTGAGCTGCTTCTGTGGTGCCCAGGCCTGTCGATGCCGAGGCGTCCTCAGAAGTGCTGTGCACTGAGTGGGGAGCACTAGTGTCAGTCGCTTCCTGCACTTTTACTTTGGTCCCATGCTGGGGTCAGACCCCCCGTCCTCTCACCACTGGCGGCTTTCTGGTGCCGGCCACCTCACGTGTTGCTCCCTTGCACTTGCCTCTTGCTTGAGTGGCGTTGCTGAAGGGGCGGGCGTGGGGCAGGGAGCTCTGCCTGCTCAGAGCGGTTTGAACCGCAGGCAGGAGTGCGGGCTGCTGGGCACGGGGCCTCGGGTGGCACTGTCCTCACCTCCCCTGTGCTTTGGAGCTGCCATGACAGGCATGTGCAACTGGAGCCCTGGGGGCGTAGGCTGTGCAGCCCAGCCCCTGGCCCGTGGCCCAGCATCGCCTCCTGGACGGTCCCCGTCAGCCCTCACGTCAGCACGTGGACAAGTAGCGTGTGCTATTTTTGAGGTAGTTGGGTTTTTCTCTGAATGTGCAGTAGCGGCTGAGGTTTGTGGGTACTGGGAAGCCTGCACTCCACTGGTTACGTCAGTGCTCACACCTTCTGATTTTAGATGTTTGAACAGAATCTTCAAGTTGCTGCTCAGATAAGTGAGGACTTGAAAACCAAGGTGCTGGTTCTGTGTCTGCAGCAGATGAACTCTTTCCTAAGCAGGTACGCGTCTTTGCCCCTGTGCAGTGTAGAAGTGATGTGTTACAGTTAAGAGCAGGCATCTGTGATCCAAGGATAGTTTAAGCCCAGAGGCTCTGAGAAAGCCCCTCTGCACCCACAGTGGCTCTCCTAAGGCTGCCGTTAGGGTGGGGTGCACTCTCCCTCCGGGCCTCACCCTCAGCAGTGATGTGTTCTGAGAGTGAACCGCTGGGGACGGGGGGACAGCTATGCCAGCTGAGGCAGTCACTCCCCTCCAGGGCTGCCCCTGGCAGAACTGGGCCTGGACGGAGCTCGAGGTGGGCTGTGCCCAGTGTGCTGCTCTCTTCTAAGCTGTTGGCAGAGCAGATCTCAGCCCTGTACAGCAGTAGGGAGGCGTGGAAGAGCCTGTGTCTGTCAGCGGGGATCTGCAGCCACCCTCGCCTGACCTCTCCACTCCCACCATCCTCTCTCCCTCTCCTTTCTCTGCTGAAGACCTTCCAGGTGCATCCCAGACCTCTCAAAGCAGTGCTGTCGGCTCACACTTCCCAGTTGTCTCTGACATTTCCTGGCTGTGT